ATTCCAAAGTAAATTCTGCGCTATTTATCGATTTTTTAATGACTTCCCCAAGTCAGAATTCATTAATATTTGTCGATAGTGAAAATGAAGTTGCTTAAATAATGTCGGAAGAAAGAGAAAGTAGCTTTAAGAATTCAGTGATTAATTCGTGAGATCTTTTGATCAAATAATAATACAAATATTCAAGTGTCTACGTATATATGTATGTGTGTGAATGTAGCCATGTGTGTATATTATATATATATATATATATATATATATATATATATATATATATATATATATATTGCCTTTTGCTGATATATTTTAATTACATCTGAAACATATATATATATATATATATATATATATATATATATATATATAAACGTGTGTGGTTATGTGTAGCGTGTTTATATATATATATATGTGTGTGCCTGTCTGTGTATATATATATATATATATATATATATATATATATATATATAACATTTATTAAAAAAATCACCACAAAATTCTAAATACAAATCATTCGAGTATATTAAGTTTTGCTGTATATTTTAGATATATCTGAAAGAAATTTCATATATATATATATATATATATATATATATATATATATATGTGTGTGTGTGTGTGTGTGTGTGTTATTAAATTTATGACATAAACATGTTATGACAACACGGTAAAATTAAAATTACAAATTCTAAATTTAACCAACATTGTGTTTAAAATGTTACATAGTTATTCAAAAAATGGAATGGGGAAAATATATATATATATATATATATATATATATATATATATATATATATATTTATATATATATATATATATATATATATATATATTACTGTTCTGAGCTAAGTGCAAATTTATCCGGTAAATTCGATGCTTTTATAAGAAGTATCAATAAACGCTGCAAACATTAGATACAAGGAAGTCAGATTATACAAATGACACGACAAACACAGAAATATAACTAACTATAGATGCACGCAAATATAAATAAAACACAGGAAACAGAAGAAGAAAAGGAAAAAAGAAAAAAAAAGAAAAACAAATAACAAAAACAGAAAAAGAAAAAAAAAGTTCAGAAAAGGAAAATAAATAAATAGAATAAAAAGTGGATAAATAGCAAGAAAATTATAAAAAAAAAACACGGAAAGAAAATTCTATCAGACACGAGCATTTACAATTAGAAGCAAATACAAGCAATCACACATCCATACCCAGATGCAAATATACAAGCTCAGCAAGATTCAAGCAGAAATACAATAATAAAACGACACAAGGCAACCATTAAAATATTACATACATGAACATACATATAGATAAAAAAATATGTATGCATCATACATACGCTATTTTCTTGGCCTTATTCCTTTTATTTGTTATCTCCACTCACCTTTTATCTGACCTCCTTGTATCTAATATTTGTAGCGTTTATTGATACTTCTTACAACAAATTAGATCTTAATTATTTCATATTAATTTCTAGTTTGACTAACGTTAACTTTAATACGCAAATCGCTTGTATTTACAATTTTAATGTCACTTTTGTAAATTTTCATATTCCTGTAATCTGATTATCATAGGTTACGCAACAATGTTTCTCCTATTGAAAAGGTTTAATTTGGTTTTGAATTTATCAAGAAAACTTTATTTCGCAGTCAACGCCGTCACTAGATAACAGAAGTGTTGAAAAATGTCTATTTTTATAGCGTATAACATGCTTATACTTTTTGAATAAATATTGCCTGCTCTACTTTGTTTTGAGTACTTTTTTATGAAATAAATAATGTTTTTGGTTATCGGAATTGTATTCCATCTATACCAACCCTCTACTCGTGTATATATATATATATATATATATATATATATATATATGTATGTGATGGACTCTCCCGTCGGTTTCGACGTATGAGGATCTGAGAGCTCAGTTGATTCAGTTATGAAATTTTGTGCGATAATCTTAAGTGACCCGCTAGTGATTTACAAAGGAGGCTACATATGGAGCAAGAGTGAGGATTGTGAGATGAGATCACTGTTAGATTGGCTGATCTTTTAGTTCTTGCTCTGGCTTTTTGAGGATGATTCAGACAAGCAGATTGAAAACTGCTGAGTCCACAAAAACATGTTGATCTCCATTCTATCCAAGGCTAAGCGCTTAAAGGTGTTATGTGGTATATTAACAGCTGACAAGTTGCTTTTCAGCTTATCTTTGTATCTTAGCCATGGGCGTACTATATTCCTATAACCCTGATCTAACTGGCTGTACATTAGGATCTTGGGTATCCTATCATCATACATTCCACCGTAACTGAGACTGTATGAGAAAAGACACTATTCCTCCAGTATTACACTTGTTAAACAGGTCTACATTAGATGCCCTATCTTGAAGGTTAACTCCACAGATTATATATATATATATATATATATATATATATATATATATATATATATAATCCCAGTATAATAAATAATTGCTCCAACATTGGGATAACCAGATAATTTTATGGACAAAAATAGTAGAACAAATCCCGGTAAATAATACAGACTTCTCACCTATAAGGTTAGTCGGATATATAGCATAATTTAAATTATGTAACGGTCACTATTAATTCAGCACGTGAACATTGCGTTGTGTAGGTGTTGTGCCACCGTTTAGGAAAATTGTACATTTTATATATATATATATATATATATATATATATATATATATATATATATATATTACTAGTGTTGTTTATCTATCTTTCCTCTTCCAATCTCTCCATCACCTTATCCCTTTCAAGAGGTATACATCTCTTTCAACTCTCCCTGTCCGAATTTAAACATACCTTCTCAAACAAATGTGTACATAAATTAAAAATAATCATATATAAAACTTTTTTATGCTTGGAAAATTTGACAGCCGTTTGTATGGAAATGTTTGATCTTAAGGAAATAAATTATAATTATGTGACCTTAAAGTTGTCTATTTCTTATTAATAAGTAATGTTTGATCTGTTCTTACATTGAACTCTCTGGATTATATCTTCCTTGAAATTATCCATACGGATTAACAAACAATACCATTATCTATCTCTCTCTCTCTCTCTCTCTCTCTCTCTCTCTCTCTATCTCTCTATCTATCTATCTATCTATATATATATATATATATTTATATATATATATATAAACATACTCGTACACCGCAATAAATGTAATGAATAAAGACTCGACATGAAAAATCAGGGAACCGAGATCAAATTCCGGTTGGGTTCGTTATATTCACTTACGCGTTACTTTCCCTTGTTAAAGGTAAGGATCCATCTCTTCTTCCCCAGTTATTGGTTGAATAATAAAACAGAGATGCTCCTATAAGCTTGGTTGACAACGGCAGTCAACTGTGTGAAAATCTTCTGCATAGACAGATCATAAAATTAAAAAAATGCATTCATTGTTAATTAAGTTTATTTATTTTCCTTTAAAATTTATTCTTTAAAATGAATATTCCCGAATAAGCAATGGTGAGAGGTAAAAGACAATTCAGGCCTTAAATAGTCTTACCAACATTCATAGTTTTGCTCCCATCTTTCATAAATCATCAAGAGAACGGTGAATACGTTTAAAAAAGGGGGAACAGCAGAGAGGAAAATTGGATCAGGCAGTCACAACAGGAAGAGGGATCATCATTTCAGCTTAGTGCTAAGGAGATCAATTAGAAAAGATCCAACTCAATCCATAAGACGGTTGGCACGTGAGAGAGGCGATTTACACATGAGAGCCCGAAGAGCAGTGAAAAAATGAGTTGAAAACCTGTGAGGCACCTTGTTACTCCAGGACTTAAAGATGGTAAAGGTAGAGAGGTCGAAGATCATCTTGAAGATGTTGGAAAATGATCCCTGAATAATATCTATATATTTTAACTTTAGTTCAATCTTTCCTGAGCTTCCGATCCTTAGCTATGATTAATTAATGAAGAACATGTAATTTGTGTTTATAATCGATTTCATCACGCTTCTTTTGTTAATCTTGGTGAGTAACCATACATTCTTACTGCTCAAAGTATTGCCCGATAGTGTTATAAAAACTCGGCGAATTCCAGTAGAATATATTTATTCATTTCTAAAATACAACGGATCAAACTTAATCTAACAAATGAACAATTTTGCTTTTACACGATTTGGACAATTTTGCTTTTACACCAGGAATATGAATGCAGTGACAATATTTCTTAGCGCATATAAGAGGATCGCTGCACTAGAGAAATACAAACAGGGATAGTAAGTTAAACACGTGTACCCAATAAAAATAACGTTTACTTTGATAAGAAATAATGGTGGATAAAATATTCATTTAAATGTATATATATATATCTACGAGACCTACATACATATAAAAAGCACAACGATAGAGTAAGGGAGATAGAGACAGAGAGAAAGAATTATGAGAGAGAGAGAGGTGTGAGAGAGTGAGAAAGAGAGAGAAGCAGGGGATGTGCGTATGTGAGAGAAATTCGAATCTACTGAAATAATGAAATATGTTGAATAATGTCAGAAATACCTATAAAACTCTTTCGGAAAATAGGCAAAAATCCTTTCCTTGGGTCATATAAAAGCAAATTGAAAAATAAGGGTTTGATGAATGTTTGATGGCAAGGATATATTTATAATGGGGTTTAAAGATTAATCGATATATTTTAAATTTCTTTCCTGTTAAAAGGTTAATAGAAAGGCAATATTTCATTGAAAGGTTGATTAATGCGGTGTATGGATGCACCGAAGTGTCATAAAACATTCACTCCGCCCCAAGGCGAAAACAAAAGAAAATGACTTCAGTATTTGAAGTCTTTCCTTTCCCCAGTCATTTCATTTTTGCTACATTCCAGTCTGCCTTTGCTTTCTGTCTTCACTTTCTTAAAGCGTGTAGCAAGTTAATATGTGAGTTCGTTTCATCTGCTAATTTTCTAGTAATGAGCATCACCCACCTTACCACAGGCATAATTGTGTAACATTTTCTAGTTCAATTGTGCTATGCTTTCTTTTACTTCAAGATATCTTAGTTTTTACCAGTTACTTCTTGATTGTGTACGGAATAGTGCAATTGTTGTAAACATAAAGAATCCACCCGCCTTCTACTCCCAGGGTAAATAAAATATTGTGTTTCAATGCCAATGGCAATACATTGTTATAAGATATTAATTTTTGTCATCGTCTGCAATGAGATTTATTTTGTTTCTAGAAATTCACGGAAGTGGGGTGGCATGAGATATGACTAAAGCACATCCTATTGCCAAATTATTTCTTAAAGGCAAATCGGATTTTATAATGCAATAGTTATTGTAGCACTGATAAGATCATCCAATTACTGAGTGAAAAGTTTGCCAAAGAAAAACAAAGAAGCAAAGAAAAATAAAGATCAGGGAAAAATTAAATACGAATATTTATAGAAAAAATAAATTAAAAAAAATTATTTCTCTTCTTCAATAATTCTTTTGTTTTATTTCTTTCCATTTCTGTTCCCTTATTATTTTTTTCGGTCCCTCCTTGACCTTCTCTATATTATTTTTTACCTTTTCATTTAGAGTTTCTCCTTTTCGACTTCTTTATTTTCCACTGTAGTTTCTCACTTTTATTCTTTAATCAATCATTTCCATATTTATACTCTTTCTCTTTTCTTTTTTTCTCGTTTGCTCTTTACCCGTTCTCTTACTTTTCATTAATAGTTTTTCTCCATTTTCTTTTCTCCCTTTCTCTTCTTTTCATTTTCTCCCTTTGTCCTCCTTTCCTTTTCTCCCTTTCTCTTCTTTTCCTTTTCTCCATTTCTCCCACTTTCCTTTTCTCCCACTTTCCTTTTCTCCCTTTCTCTTACTTTCCTTTTCTCCCTTTCTCCTCCTTTCCTTTTCTCCCTTTCTCTCCTTTTCATTTTCTCCCTTTCTCCCACTTTCCTTTTCTCCCTTTCTCTTCTTTTCCTTTTCTCCCTTTCTCTTCTTTTCCTTTTCTCCATTTCTCCCTCTTTCCTTTTCTCCCTTTCTCTTACTATCCTTTTCTCCCTTTCTCCTCCTTTCCTTTTCTCCCTTTCTCTTCTTTTCATTTTCTCCCTTTCTCTTCCTTTCCTTTTCTCCCTTTCTCTTCCTTTCCTTTCTCCCTTTCTCTTCCTTTATATTCCTTTCCTTTTCTCCCTTTCTCCTCCTTTCCTTATCTTCCATTCTCTCCTTTTCATTTTCTCCCTTTCTCTCCTTTTCATTTTCTCGCTTTCTCTTCCTTTCCTTTTCTCCCTTTCTCTTCCTTTCCTTTTCTCCCTTTCTCTTCCTTTCCTTTTCTCCCTTTCTCTCCTTTTCCTTTTCTCCCTTTCTCTCCTTTTCCTTTTCTCCCTTTCTCTTCCTTTCAATTTCTCCCTTTCTCTTCCTTTACTTATCTCCCCTTCTCTCCTTTTCCTTTTCTCCCTTTCTCTTCCTTTACTTTTCTCGTTTTTGCTTCTTTTCTTTTTCTCACCTTCTCTTCTTTTCGTTTACTTATTTCCTTTTCCTTTTCTTTCCTTTTCTTTCTTTTTCTTCCTTTCCTTTTCACCCATTCTCTTCTTTTCATTTTCTCCCGTTCTCTTCCTTTACTTTTCTCTCTTTCTCTTCCTTTCATTTTCTTCCTTTACTTCCACTTCTTTTCATTTTCTCACTATCTCCTCCCTTTCTTTTCTCTCTTTCTCTTCCTTTACTTTTCTCCCGTTCCCTTTTTTGGCTTTTTTTCCCTTTCTTTACTGGTTTTCTTTTCCTTTCCTTTTCTCGCTTTCTCTTCTTTAGCTTCTTCTTTTCTTAAAATTTCCTATTTTGATTTTCGTTGTTTAAACAGCCTTATTTTATTTTTTATATGCACAGAATTAATATGCACTGAATAATTTAATCTAATCTGATCAACTTTGTATATCGACAAATGTTAACTGCTTTATATTTTTTTATATCATTTTGTAATTCAAAACCTGACTAAAAAAAAATGTCCGCTTTGTTCTCTAAGTTAACGCGTGAAATCAAAGTCATTTTTCAAATATTTTCTTCAGGATGTAGGCGGTCATGGCTCTCTACAATCTTTTGTCTCTTGTAGCTGCTAATGAATTTTAGCCTTTTGTTATTTCTTCTAGTCCCTGTTCCGTCATTCATTCATTTAAGACCATCAATTAAATTATGCACTTTCTTCTTCTGTCACGCATGGCCTCAGTTTCTTTTGTGAGTATAATATTTTCGCAGTCATCTTTTCTGATTATGTAATTTCAGCGGTCTCTTCCTGATGTAAAGTAGAAGTTTCCTTTTTGTTTCTATTTTCTGTAAAAAAAACTCGTGGCTGCTCATATGTTCGGCCGGTGGTATCTTCAGCATCCTGCTGTAGAACGACATTTCTATTGATTCAAGTCTTTACGTCATCTTTGAGAAGACAGTCCAACATTCATTACCATATAGGAGGACACAAATCATGCAACAATTTAGTACCCTTTTCTTTGTTTCCAAATAAGTATTTTCTATCTTTTACTACATTGTGTACCTTTTGGAATGCATTTTCTCTTTACCAATGAATAGAAAGTGCGAAACTGAAACACTAAAAAGGGTTTCAGTTTCGCACTTTCTATCATCTGTTAGAATACTTCCCAGATATTTAATTTTTTTGTAATTCTTTCACTTTGCTATCTCCGATATGTAATTTGCATTTTTTTGGTTCATCCTTTTGCTAACAACAATGCATTCTGTCTTTTTGCAGTTGCCATTTTTTTGCTTTCCTTTACTACTTCTGTAAAGGCTTTTGTATTTTGCTTGTCGTGTATGCTATCAACACTGTGACATTTTCATATTTTATGTTGTTAAGATTGTGTCCACTAATATTGAATCCTGGTAGGTCATTTAATTATCTCAGAATCGTTCGTTGTATAGCTGCAAAGACATATCCTTGTCTTAGACCCATCCTTCATTTTTGTATATATGAACACATTTTCTGTCCGTATGCATGGGGTTTGCTGCCATTATACATTATACTAATAGACTTCCGAAATATATCTTGGTTGCTGAACAGTTCCAGCAGATCTTTTCTACTTTATCTAAAGCCTATGCCTAATCTATAAAACACAGGTACACTATGTATCTTAATATATTCTTAGCATAAATATTCGATTCTTTCTTCGAATGCCTTTGACGAACCCGCACTTTTCTTGTCCTATCTTCAGTCTCATTTCGCTGCGTGCTTTATTCATTCAGATTTTTAGTTATATGGCTCAGTAGACTGATTGTAAGGTGGGGTTCACATTCGTTTGCACTTCTTAGACAGTGCTATGAAAATATATTTATTTAATTCTTTCGGCACTGTTGTAGATTTCATGTATTATTTCTTTAATCTTGTCGATGCCAAAATGATCAAAGTTTTCCAGCATCTCTATTACAATTCTGTATGACACTGGTATTTTGTTACTGTTCAATTTGTCCTATGCAGTTTCCACTTCGTTTTTTTCATATTTCCGGTCCGTCAATATTTCTATACACTGCCTGTTGTTCTCATTTGTCGTAGAAGAAGTCTCCGATATATTCGTTCCATCTCTGCAGCATTTTTCTTTATCTAATATCAGCGTTCCATTCATGAATTTTACGCATCTTTTTAATGATCAACTATTTTTGTCCTGTTAGTTTACTTATTTTTTATGCACGCCTCGTTTATCTGTGATAGACCATTCCGTCAATTTCTGCAAATTTTCTTTGAGTCATTCCTGTTTAACCTGTCTGCATCTGTTCTTTATTTTTTGTGTAGTGTTATATATTTTGTTACGTCTTTTGTCATTTTTGTTTCCTTTTCATCATTTCAAGAATCTCATCTGTCATCCAATCATTTTTTCTTCGTCTATTTTCCTTTGGGATGATCTAAGTTTGCTGATGCTACTAAAGCTTCTCTTAGAGTCTGAGTTTCCATTTTCATGTTGTTCCTCATATCTGCTTTTTCAAACCGTTCATATATTTCTCCGTCAGATCTAGTCTTTCAAGTGTCTATCGTATTGTAAATTGGGTGTTGCCTTAGGCTTTTTCAATTTCAGTAGTTTTATTTTAAGTTTTCATAGAATTGTTAGGTGATCGCTTCAACAGTAGGAACTTTGAGAGGTTTTGCAGTGTACAACTGTATTTCTGAATCTCTTATTGATAGCTATGTAGTCTATTTGGTTTTTTCTTTCTTCTCCAGGAATTCTCCATGTCTATATTTTCTTGGGTGTTCCCGAAACCTGGGCATTCAACCTACGCTATTTGATCCATTTTTCACCGCGTCCATGCAGTCCGAAATTGTCAACTATTTCATCATATCTTTCAATGCCTACTTTGCTATTTAGGTCTCCCATGACAATTACTTTTTAAATTGTTACATCCTCGACTTCTTTGGCGTTTAGTAAAACTAATAACTTACGTACATGCTCATAGATACAGACCGAAAGAATGTCATATTTAAAACAATTTCACCTTTTATTTTACTAGATGCTCACCCAATACAAACTTCACCAACCACAGGTAGTAGCGGGCTGATGAATTTAATGGGGCTTAGTTTGAGATACAAGGAATCTAGAAAGCAGTTGACCCTTGCTTGAATAGGTTAAGATTGTATTGTGAACCATCCATCCATGGTGGGTACTAGAGATTAGCATTTCTCGAAAGAAAGAGCCTCTGAGTTGAACTTCCTTTTATAAGGGGACTCAGTAGAAAATGTGAGTGATTAGATTCTATGGATGTAAAATGGTGGGTCCTAGCTAAAAAAGAAAACGTCCTCACGGGTAGAAATAAAGACATCTGAACCTGAGGCAAATACTGTTCCTTTATGAAAGAATTGGAAAAGTGGAGAATATGTCATCCGCTACAGAAACACGTAAATGATTTAGAACTTCATCAAAACCTAAATCAGGATTTGGTAACTCTAGCCCAGACATGGCAGTAATACTCCATTTCCTTTACTAATCTAACTCCTGTAGAGATAAAATATGGGAGAAGACCGGTACATTTTGTAACGATACAATGAAACAACTATTTTTCCAGCACTGATAATTTAAGAAGTTCCCTTCACGAATTTACCAACTTTGCCTTCCCTCCAAAGTCCAATGTACTGATCATGTAGGAGAATAAGCTATGCTGATGAAATAGTAATTCATAATTGGGTTATGAATGATCTCGAAGAAATCAAATTCCTCTACCAATTGTTCTAATAAACAGATTCAATATAAACAATTTCAAAAGAGTATTTAAGATCGGAATTGTAATGAAAGTTGTACAGATAATTGAAACCATGATGAAAATTCAAAATGTGGAATTAGTACATACTGAACACTTCAAATTCCTCGGTGTCTGGAAAAGTTATAACAAAATTAGCATAGGAGAAAATGAATGGAACTATGGAACAGACTATGCTAGATGCAGTTTCGCCGAACACAAGAAATTGTAAAAATAAAACCAAATAACAACCTGAAAACTCGAGTCATTTAATTAAATGTCTTCGTCAGACTGAGACTGTCATACGGATGTCAAGCATGTTACTAAATCCGTTTAAAAGTAGACGAACTGCAAGCTGTGTACACCTATTTGTAAGATGACTGGTTAAAAATATTTTAAGTAAGTGAAATCTGATGATCTTTGTAAATAGTATCCTTCTTTGAGCATTGATTTTATGTAATGCATACATACATGCAAAAATGAATGAATTGATGAATGAATGATAGATAGATAGATAGATAAGGAACGTGCATAGATAGATAGATAGATAGATAGATAGATAAAGAACAGGATAGATAGATAGATAGATAGATAGATAGATAGATAGATAGATAGATAGATAAAGAACAGGATAGATAGATAGATAGATAGATAGATAGATAGATAGATAGATAAAGAACAGGATAGATAGATAGATAAAGAACAGGATAGATAGATAGATAGATAGATAATGAACAGGATAGATAGATAGATAGATAGAGAGATAGATAGATAGATAGATAGATAGATATAGCAAGAATACAAGTATAATATGTAAGAAACGATATGTTTCAGAAACCGTTCAAGTATTAAGATCTGAAAAGTCAGCATTCCAAATATTTCATTTTTCATAGGTTCGAACATTGAATGTGCATCTTTATTGGAAATCAAATGATCATGATAGTCACACAAAATTTGCTGAGGAACAATCTGGCTTTCATTCTGCGTGGAATATATTCGCAATCCATAGAAAAACACCACCGGTCACGAAAAAAAAAAAGGGATGAGAAAACGAGGAGAAAATAGTTCATGTGTTGGAGGAAAAATATGTACTTGTTCTAGAATAGATAACACGTAAGTACAACGAAGTGAGAAGTCTTTTGAATGTTTGAGAAAAGGTTATCTAAAAAAGAAAGACAAGCATTATTAATTGCAGCTTAGGAGATGGCAAAAACCCACAAAAAACAAAACAAAGGACAAAACAATAAACAAAACAAAACGCGAACTCTCAGAAAATACGTTGACAAAAAAAGACATTTTATCAACATGCAGACTGGCCGATGACGTGGATGAAGTAGGTCAAACTATGGCGAAGTAACATTTTTGTCTTATACCCCTTTCTACTTTTTTTTATATTTACTGAATTTACTTTGTTTGCATTCAATTTGCTGTCACTATATGTAGGGAATATATATATATATATATATATATATATATATATATATATATATATATATTGCGTGTATTTAGGCAGCATCTTTTCATTCATGCATGTTTCATTAAATAATATAGACAAGTGTTGTCTATTTATTTTATGTAAAATTTTTCGTAACGTCTGATAGGTTTAATAGCATTATCGTTGAACGTAGAAAGAAATTCACGATATTGATCCATATTTTTTTTAATACAATCTAAGCTTTCG